TCATTGCTATACGTGCAACGGTATTTTTCGATTTAATTTTATGGAATGGTATTGGTTGCAGTTTGATAACGATGTAATTGCACATATTTGCGCCCCTAGTTCTTATCCGTTTGAGGGGCATAGTCGTGTGTTTTTGGCCTATTTTACGCCGGGTTGTGCTATTTTGTCATATTTCAGGTCCCAGGCGTCAAAGGAAAGGCTAAGCACGAGTTTCGGGGCATTTGGAAGTCATTTCGTCGAGCTGGAGCCAAAACACGGGCAAACCTAAAACAGAACACGGCCGTGTTTAGTGGCCGTGCTTTTACTGCCGAGAGCAAATTCGAGTTTGGCAAACATTGGCTAAAAACACGGGCATGGCTTAGACAAAGCACGGCCGTGGCCACCAAAGCACGGCCGTGTCCATCATCAAACACGCCCGTGTTTCGCCCAATGCACTGGCCGTGTAATTAAACCTAGCCAAAGCACGGGCGGGCTGAGGCATTACACGGCCGTGCCCTCGATCGTGCTTTGGCCACTGATGCCCTTTTAAGTAGATTTTCAGCCAAAGAGAAGGGAATCGGATTTCTTGAGCAAAAACAGAGCCGTAGAGAGAGAAAGGACGAAGAACACATCCTAGAAGCTATCTTGGAGCTGGGTTTCATCAAAATCAAGCTTGGAGATCGTCATAGGAGTGGAAATCATCATCCCAGAGCAGATTCTTCCCATAATTATGAGTATGATTGCTTTGTATCTTGTTTTCCTCTCTCTCTCTCTCCTCTCTCTCTATGGAGTAGAACCCCTCTCTCACTTGGGGATGAAGAACCCTAGTTCTATGTGTTAGGGATTGATTGTAATGACTTGGGATGATATTACTGTTTGATTTTAATCGAATGATGCATGTTTATTGAGTCAATTCAAGTCTGATCAACTTTTCCTGATTCCTGCTGCAATCTGAGATAGATAGAATCTGATTAGGTTGCTAGAGTCTCATCATTCGGTAGTAGGAGATTGGCTATACGAGAGTTAGCCAGTTTACTGCTTTGTACTGGAATCTAATTCCAGTAGTGGAGTTCTGTGTTCATAGCCTCAGCTTTCTATCTTGGTGAAGACTAGTCGTCTGCCGGGTAGTTAGACTGAGAGGGCTTGGTCAGCTTAAGAGATTCCAAGCTACTGTCGGATCTTCCGCAGTCTAATCAACATTAAATCAACCCAGGGAAATTACAATTGAGACCTAACTAAGGAGCTAGGGGGACTCATTCCCGAGTGACTCTTACCTGCTTGAGAAAACCGTATCAATTCCTGCTTTCTTTCTGCTTTTGCTTTTAAAACAACAATCACTTACTTTAGTTGGCTAGATAATAGATAATCACTGAGTAAGCAGTAGATCTAGACCCCGGGTTGATAATATCACTTGTCCCTTTACTGCATTCCCGGTCTGCGATTACACTTGGTCGCAGATTGGTGTTGTGTTTTAGAGCATCACAGTTCTTCATTGGAGGGAACTAGAAGTGTGTAAGTTGTTTAATTCTGTTTTATTGCTTCTGGTTTTCTTTATTGAACCTTTTGATTATATTGGCAAGATAATTGTGTTATGATTTGGGAGGAAGAAGATTGATTGAAGATTTGACGTGAAGAGAGTAGAAGGATTGGTTTGTATTTTTTGAAATGGTAGTGATTTTTTTCGTAGTGGTAGCGTTTTTCGCATTGGTATTATTTTTCTGTATTGGTATTGATTATCATGTAACGGTATTTGCATGTATTGGTATTGATTAAATCTTCAATGATATTGGTGTTTTGTGAAATTATAGTGTTTTTATTTCTCGAATGGTATAGGTGTTTTGTGCAATGGTAGTGTTTTTCTAATGGATTAGTATTGATGTATTATATGTTGTTGCAACGGTATTAGTTCGGCTGAACAACGTATGACCACACTAATACCTATCAAACCAAACATATATACAGATAAAGATATGTGTAAATCATACTCCTATGACGTCTGGGGCCGAATCCATGCATTGTTTCATGAAATGTTGCCTTTATCCATACGAAAGGTTGCCTTTATCCATATGAAAGGTTGTCTCTATCCATATGAAAGGTTGTCCTTATCCATATGAAGGGTTGCCTTTATCCTTAAGGTTATCCTTATCCATAAAATAATGCAACCGCCACTAGGCCAAAGGGATGTGTCCCTTCACGGAATTAGAATATCGGTTCAGTCGGTCTAATCCCAAACCGGTTGGTCGGTCCAACCCAAAACCGGTTTGACTTGGTTAGTCCGGTTCAACAAAATTTCCAACATTCCTCCCCCATTTTAGTGTATTATTAGAATTCACTAAAATCACAACATTATTCCAACAAAACTTAAGCATAAATGAAAATGTCGTGACGATTGAATTTTCACCTTAGTATGTTACACTTGACGAATACTCGAATACAAAGGGTGTCGGTAACGATTGAACCCATTGACTCATATGAATATTCGAAGATAATATACACTTAAGTTTTCAAAACTTCTAAGCGCCTTGACACTAATATCCGCCATGTGTCCAATCCTTCTCATAAGCGCACACGAAACCAAAGTCCGGGTTTCTTGAAGCGGCTACACTTCATGCTTACGTAGGTCGAATCTTTTATTCGTGTCCCCGCATAATACACTTTGTCAAAGATTCAATTAAGAAGTTTTGAACTTCATCTTCTTCTCTCATGAAGATAACAAGCACATACCTCGGGATGACAAATTTTGTGCTTCAATTTCTGATAATAAGCTTTCCACATTGAATTCAGCCTCTAACGTTGTATTAGAGGGGAATTGGGTGTCCCATTACCAGAAATTATATGGACTTTAATCCATCCCTTTCACAGACTTAATCACCAAGTCACTAGTTAACCACTTCGTCAAATGATCAACCAAATTAATTCGATTTTGGTCATACTGTCTAGACACAACACTATGAATGATCAGTTCACAGCTTTTACCGTGCCATACTCCCACATGACCGTACTTATCATTTTCACTTGACTATATGCCTTAGCCAAATTAGCATTACTATCACAAAAGATAGTAATAGGTGAGATTGGTTTAGGCCATAAATATATGTCATAAACCAAACCTCTCAACAATTATGTCTCTTCTCTAAGAGAAATCAAGGCCACACAAACTTTGATTCCATAGTGAAACTTAGTGATGCAAGTTTACTTTCTAGAGGCCCAAATTATGGCACATCTCCCAAGCAAGAGGACCCATCTCAATGTTGAAGTATTAGTTTTTAACATGAGAAATCCAACTAACATCAACAAATCCTTTCCAAAATTGATGGAAAGCCACTATAAGTCAATACAGTGTGCCTTTGACATATCCTAGTACACGCCTCATTTCATTTCAAATTATGAGAACTAGGATTCATCACGTACCAACTTAATTGTTCTATCGCATATGCGATATCTAGTATCATGTAAATCATGCATACATCGAGCCCCCAATTTGACATGGAATACTCCAGTTGTAAAACTGATTTCCAATATTAACCATAAGTTCCATACTTTGATCCATTGGGGTCTTTAACTCACTACAATTCCTACTATGGAATTTATGCAAGTACCTTCTCATGCAGAAAAATTGAGAGAAGGACTCTTTCTTGTCATTCCGCTTGATTCAATACACAGAATCACAAATGCCTACCCCATGTCCTACATGGAGAATTGAAATAACAACTTTTTATTTCAAAGTTCACTTATCTTTTATTGGTTCTAAAGATAAACATATCTTATACATACAAATGTACGATGACTTCATTTCCAGAATCATCATAAATTGTGTACACATTTTGTCCCCTTGGTTTAAAATAACATAAACTACTAGACAAAATCACTTATCTTTGATTGGTCCCAAAGATAAATATGTCATCTACATAAAAACACAACGACTCTATTACCAGAATCATCAAACATTGTATATACAATTTTGTCTCCTTGGTTTAAAATAACATAAACCACTAGACAAAATCACACCACCAAACCACGAGACAAATCCAAGTTTATCTAAAACTTCGTAAATGTCGAATAGAGAATTAGACTAATTAACCATTGAGTATGTGACCTACCCAAAGGCAATTTTCATTCTTCTATTTCTCCATTTTACGAATCATTCTCCTTCTTCCTCATCTTCGAATCATCCCTCTTCCAAGTTACCTTCCAGATATGGAATACACCATGAGACTAGTACGAAGAACACCCATCTTCTACTGTCATCGATGAAAAACCCATCATCGAACATTCTCATAATTCCATAGACCGGAACCGGTTTCTTGTAAAGAGCGGTTCGAGCCATCGTACCGGAAAACTATTCTTTTCGATTGTTGGGACTTTTAGGGAATTCTAATAATACACTAAAATGGGGGAGGAATGTTGGAAATTTGGTTGAACCGGACTAATCAATGATATGTCTACCAACACATAACTACAGACAATAATACTATTAAAACACAGGGACAAGCAAAACAATAAGCACCATAATACCATTCTTACCCTTAGTAGCCACGTTGATTACTACTTTGTAGTAATCACCGTAACCGCTCCCATCCTCTATTGATTCTCAAAGGAATGTGTATCTATTTCCCTAGGTTAATATGGTTGGTCACTGAGATTACAAAAAGCGTTCATGTTTGGTCACTCGAAATATTTAAATTCATTTGTGGTCCCTAACTTTACAAAAACCGTTCATTTATGGTCACTCCCCGTTAGCTGCCGCCCAACACCGTTAACGACGTCCGTTAAGTGATGATGTGGCTGACGAATTCGCCTAATCAGCACTTTTTAACCCGAAAATTGACTGACCCAACCCGCCACGTCATTTAAACCCGCCACGTCAGCTAAACCTCTAACCAAACCAGACCAGACCCGACCCACCAACCCATTTATCTTATTTATGTGGCTTTCTTACCGCAAGAATCCTATCATCTTCCCAAAACCTTCAAACCTTCACATCTCACTCTGTTTACTTCTCATCCCCTTCTCCTCTGCTAATGGAGGCACCTTTCTGTCGTTGTGGATTGGCATCAGATCTCAAGAAGAGCTGGACAAAGGCGAATCCAGGGAGGAGGTTCTACGGGTGCAGCAAGTATGGGGTAAGATTTCTGACTTTTCTGCTTTGATTTGTATACCATTCGACCATCCTCTCCTTCATCCCTCTCTGTTTTGTGCTTGGATCTGTAGACAGATGGGGCATGTAATTTCTTCAGATGGCATGACCCAGTAGTTGACGAGCATATGAAGTTTGTGGTGCTGAACTTTCATCGTCGGATTCGGGAACTAGAGAAGAGGCAAAATGGGCAAGGGTCCAAAGCTAATGGTTGCCCAGTGTTCATCTTCATTGTGATTTCTCTTGTCTTTTCTTTCATCTGGATGGGATTGGGAATGTAAGAAGCTAGTTGCTCAACCTTGTTGATGTAATAGTTTCTGTATTGTAGATTGTAACCCTAGAAAAATCAAATTTCACGTTTTGTATATGAAAGTTTATGTTAGTTGTACATGTAAAGGTCCACATTTGGTCACTTGAAGATATGTAACGGTCCACATTTGGTCACTCAAAAACATGTAAAGGTCTATATCTGGTCACACAAAAACATGTAAAGCTCCACATCTGGTCACTCAAAAACATGTAAAGGTCAACATCTGGTCACTCCAAAAACATGTGTGGTCCATTTTTGGTCACTAGACAAGGACAGATTTGATCACTTGAAAAGCCAGATTTAGAAGGAAAAAATCCAAAACTACCACTATAAAAAAAATTACAAAAATACAACTCATACTCAACAATTTCCAAAAATACCACCCTTCCACACAAAACGCACCTCGAAGGAGCGGTTATAAAGCAAAACACGCCTCCAAGGCGCGGTTAAAAGTCAAACTGCCTATGGGACGCGCGGTTTGACCCTTCCTGGCTGTCAAACCGCGTTGCCACGTGGTGGTACATGCAACCGCGCGATGGGGGAGCAATCTGAGAGCCAAACCGCGCGCCAGGTCAACGATCCGCGTCGCTTAGCAAACCGCTCCCCCGAAGCGCGGTTTGAATGTTGGGGAACGCAAACCGCGCGCTGGAGGCGCGGTTTTAGGTGGGGTAAAAGGACGAAACCTCCCCTCCAGCACGCGGTTTCGTCCCTATATAAACCCCCTTCCCCCTCCCATTTTCACCACACCAAACCTCATTCCCCCCCCCTCTCTAACTCCTCACTCTACCCACCCCCCTCCCCACCCAAAAACCTTAGAATTAGTTTTTTTGTTGGTTGCGGGTTAGTCCGATCTGCCTTCAAAAAACTTTTCCTTTGGTTTTCACTAAAAAACCTTCGAATCTCTGTCCGGATTCTGAAAAAATGGCCGATTTTATCCAAGAAGAGGGTATTTACTATGATTATTATCAAGCGGTCATTTTACCCAATTGTTGTTGTTGTTATAATGATTTCTTTAATTTATATACTAATTGATTTATGTTGTTGTTATGCTATCGTAGGTTGGGCCAGATGTTGATATTTACAATCAACGATATTATGTTGATCAAGGACCAATTGATCCGGCTATTTTATACTATCAAGCCAATCATCGTTCAAGAAACGTTTGGAATGACCACAAGGTACATATTATTTATCATCACTTGTAATTTGTATTTTGTTAAAGTAATTTATTTGTTTGTACAATAATTTACTTAATTGTTAATCGTATTGATTATTTTCAATAATTTAAATCAATACAATACAGCACTTATTTAGACTCTTTATAAGAAAATGCATGTCTAAGGAAATGGGGACTTAAGCGATCATCATGATCCCCCCATGACCTGTGAAAATCGGGTTCTAAGCGATCCTCGGATCGCCCATTTTCTGTCAAAAAGACTGTGTTTCTAAGGAGATGTATACCTCTCCTAAGAGTCTTACGAGTGTACTTGTATTGCTTTCAATAATTGAAAATAATCAATACGATTAACAAAATAATATATTTGATTTTATGTGTGTGTAAAAAAAATAATTATACTTAAATTTTGAAAATTATTTTAGTTATGTTAAAATTAATGGTTATTAGATAATGTATATTTCTCTAAAAAAACCATGATTTAATTAATATTGCATCTTATAAAATATTTTAGTTATGTTAAAATTAATGTTTACTAGATAATGTATATTTCTCTAAAACAACCTTGATTTAATTAATATTGCATCTTATAAAATATTTTAGTTATGTTAAAATTAATGTTTATTAGATAATGTATATTTCTCTAAAACAACCTTGATTTAATTAATATTGCATCTTATAATATATTTATATATATGTATAAATCATCAACTTATAGTGAAAGTTAAATTCTTCTCTAGGATGCATACCATATAGTCCGCTATAAGGGCACGACGAACGTGCTTGAATGGAACAACGTCATCTTGCCCTTTATAAAAAGGGCAAGATTGGATTCGATTAGGCATTTTAATGGAATCAATATCGACCGCCAACTCATCACAACATTGGTAGAGAGATGGTGAAAGGAGACACACTGCTTCAATTTTCGTGAAGGCGAGTGCACCATCACACTTAAGGGGAGTGCACGACATTCCCTGTAGACGTTGTTGATACTCTCGCTTGAGTTCGTTGTGGCAATACCCCATCTGTACCTCCATCCTTATGAAACGTCCACATTGCAAGGTCATGTTGATCAAGACACTGCGCACCTTCAGGGCATAACTGACGGATTTCTGCATCTTCTCTTTAAATTTCTTCTCTTGGTAAGAGACAACTGATGAATATCAAACAAAAACGTAAGGTAAGCAAGACCGACCTTACCCTCAAAACAAGTACACTCGTAAGACTCTTAGGAGAGGTATACATCTCCTTAGAAACACAGCATGTTTGACATAAAAGGGGGGATCCGATGATTGTTTGGAACCCAATTTTCCCAGGAAATGGGAGGATCATGATGATCGCTTAAAACCCCATTTACTTAGGCATGCATTACTTTATAAAGAGTCTAAATAACTGTTGTATTGTATTGATTTAGTCCTCGTTTTATCCGGTTGAAAAAATATATATAACAATTAATTAGAACGCTTACCGATCCACCATAGATTATCAGCAAGCTTCTTTCGCTTGAAATGATGGTTCCAGTTGCTCTTGAAATGCCGTATGCACCATCTCTGTCACCAGTTCCAGGCTGGATCCAAGCCTAAGATAGTAGCCGGTATACCGGCGTGGCGATCTGAGATGATAGTCAGGTTCGCCCGCCTGGTGACATGAAGCTTAATTTGTATGAAGAACCATCCATAGCTATCGGTATTCTCTCCCTCCACAATGGCAAAGGCTAATGGATATACTGCTCTATTTGCATCTGCTCCGCTTGCGATCAGTAGAGTACCCTTGTACTTGCCGGTAAGGAATGTTCCATCAACTTGAATCACAGGAACACGGTATGGAAAACCATCAATACATGGCTTGAATGCCCAGAAAAGACGCTTGAATTGGCGCTTGTTACCAGGCACCGACGGTTGAATTTCTTCATCTTGGTAGCGAGGCGAGAAAATGGTGCTAGGGTTAGACACCTCCAATGCCAAAATCAATTTGGAAGGAATGCATATGATTCTTCCCAGTCACCAAACACGGCGGCCATTGCTTTATGTTTCCCATGCCACGCTTTCTTGTAGTTAATGATATAACCATAACGACTAGAAATGTCGGCAATGAAGGTTTTCACCTTCAGGTCGGGCTGATCCTCAATTAGATGTTTGATAGTCGCGGCAACCACCTTTGATTTCAACTGTCGATGGCCTTGGGATGTTATTGATGACACACATGTGTGTCTGTGTTCACCGCACGGGATATGACCCAATGGCCGACTCTCTTGCTCTTGATGGCTCGGACCCTAGCTTTGCATCCCTCATTTTCATTTTTGCATCGAACCATCTGCCTCTTTGTGTCGGAATGGGTTGTTTTCCATTCAAAACTCTGAGTCATTGCTTTAGTGGCAATAGCGTGCCGGACCTCATTCTTCGTTGCAAATTGTTGGCCCTTCGTAAAGCTAGTGAGTGGACCCCATACTGGCACCTCTGGAGAGTCCATGTCGGCATCAACATACCAATCTTTATTTTGAATGTGATTGTAGTATGGGATAGGTACACGGTCCCTAGGTACCTCATCACCGTCTGCGTCTGAATCTGGATCGAAATCATCAGCACATTCCAGAGGATCGAAGCTGTCTGCACTAACTTCGCCTTCCTCTTCTTCAACCTCAGGGTCACTAACTGGACTTGGATTGACCTCTTCTTCCATCTTATTATCATCATGAAAGGCACCTTCACCTTCACCAGCTCCGTAATGGTAGTTGTGGTAACTAACACCGCTTTGGTAGAAGTTGTACTCAGGTGGGTACTGGTAGCCTGCTTGTTGGTTGTGATCCGCCTGTTGAGCTTCTTCTTCATATGAAGGGAAGGATTGATGATGACCTCCAGTTCCATCATGATACTCCTGCCTCCAGCTCGAGTCTTGGAAATCCTGGTGGGGATAATCTTCGTATAATACACTCCCACCGTGGATACCAGATGTTTTGCCATCTCCAGAATGACTTACGCTGCCTTCGACGGCCTCGGTGTAAACGAACATCTCCACTTGCTTAATTTTATTGGTGTTCAAAAATTGGACCATTGCATCAGCGTCCTCCTGAGTGGTAAGGAGGAATTCCTCATTCCACAGCGACTCGTCATGTCTGTTTGGATATCGAGACACCATTTGATAAACTCTTCTAGTGCCATCCATGCAGGTAATTTGAGTGCATATTTGATGGAGCTCTTCAAGCATCGGTCTCGTACGGACCTTCATTTTATAAAAATTGCCACCGACGTAACTTGCCCCCTTTTCGGTCTATTCCGTGTAACCATTCCACCGCAACCCAAGCGTGAACCTTCGGAATGCCATCTACAATAAAACTGTAATGAAGTTACTAACATAAAATCACAAAGGAAAATGAAAAGTAATACAAAAGGGGACATGACAATGAAAAGTAATACAAAACAAACTTACGAATTAACGTTAATCGTAAAAACTAAATAATTTAAAGGTGCACAAATGAAATTTGAAGGAGGAGGAGGAGGAGTGTGAAGAATTTGAGTTCTCTGAAACAGCCTTTTATAGGCGAATTTTGCAGCACAAACCGGGGGGGGGGGGGGGGGAAGCGGTTTTAGGTCTGCCATGTAGCCCCACCCCCTGCATGCCGACATGTCTGATGTCGGGTGACCAGCCACAAACCGCGCCTTGGGGCAGCGGTTTATGTCTGCACATGGTAAACCGCCGCCTGGTGGGCCGATTTAACATGCCGACTATTAAACGCTTCCTCATGAAGCGTTTTGTGGTAGGGTTAGTATATAAATCATGCCTCTGAGGAGCGAATTAAA